TATCTCTCTGTCTCTCTCTCTGTCTGTCTGGCGAGCGCACGCGCCCTATGCCGGTTCCAAAAAAAAAAAAAAAAAAAAAAGAATAAAAAGAGTAGTCGTATTTCTAGAGATTGTAGGAATAATATAAAATGTAATTTCTCAAAGAAGTTATAGAGAAACATTTGAGTAAAGGGAGAAGGAATAGATAAACAAAACTGTTTTTGACAGTCGCTTATAGAAATAGATGTTTTGTGTGTATAAAATAATCCAAGGTGGGTTGGTTAAGGTGCTGAAGCCCCACAGTTTGAGAACCAGACCTGGCAGCTTGAAAATCACACTGGACACGTGTGCATGTGTGCGTGCCCAAAATCCCAGAAGGAAAAGGGAGGAGAAGGAATTGTGGTGTGGCCTGCCCCTCTGAGGATGATTTCTCAGTTTCCTTCTCTCTGTCTGTCCCTATCTCTTTCTGACAAGCACACAGTCCTTATGACAAAAAATAATAAAGTAAAATAAAACCCAAGGTATTAGATCAAACTCTTTATATAGGTTTTTTCCTCATGCAATCAGAGTAGATTGTGCTTCTGTAACTAATAATAGAAATACATCATTCTGGAATGTCCGCCTCTTACTGTTAAACATTAGAGCTGCTTAAATGTTTATGATGTAGTTTTAAATTGAGAATTTTTATTTAAAAGAGTTATTTATTATTTCTTCCTTAAGAGAAAACGAGAGAAAGACACATCCCCAACAGGGTCTTTCACATCCCAACCCACCCCCAGCCTCACCTGGCCCAAATCACAGGGATGCACACATGCCTGGCATGCTCAATATGTCCCAACATGCAAGTCCAAGACCTTTCTCACATGGGTCTGGTCATGTACCTCTGCACCACTCTCTGGCCCTTACACCACGGGTCTTACTGTAGTAGAAATTTCTTCTCCAGAACTCAAACATGAAAGCACATATTGGAAGTTGCTGATAAAATTCTAGAGCTGAGGGCATCTCGAGAGCAAGCCTTCCATGTTATTGTCCTATTGTGTTGTTGATAACAGAAATACCTAAATCTGCATAATTTATTAAAAATAGAGGTTTCTTCAGTTGATGGTTTGGAGGTCCAAGGCTGAGGGGCCACTTCCAGTGAGGGTCTTTTGGATGCATAACCTGTTGGAGGGCAGGAGCACACATGCCTCTGTGCTTGTGTCTCCATAGAAGCCCAAGAGTGGCCAGTCACAAGGACCCCACCCTGCTGCTTAATCACTCTCTGACAGACCCACCTTTCAGCACCGTAGTCAGATTAAGTTTTCCACACTCTCACCACCATTACAGTGGCTCACCAGAGTTTAATACACGAATTCTAGGGGGGCATATTCAGACCACAGTAGCTATCCTCCTGTACACTGGTGGCTCAGTACTTTACGTGTTGGTAAATGGAAAGTGGCATTTTCAGAGGTGTAAGTATTCTCTTAACAAATAAGCATCAGTCATCCTACAACTCTGAAACCTCACTGTAGCAGTCTCCTTCCTTTTGACACTCATGTAAAACTGACCTGTAGCCCTATCCTGCGTAGTGTGTGGGTCAAGTATCTTCTGGAAGATTCTTACAGCATGTCTTCCTTGCGTTCCACTTTTGCCGGGAGCTCCCATGTGCGTGTGACCACTTTTTTCTTTACTTTGAGATCTGAATGCAGGACTTGAGTCCGTTTCCACCAGACATGACCAACACAAGTCAGTGGTGTAGGACAGATCTCCACTGCAAGTAGGATAGTGAGGGAAGAATTACATAATGCACAGCACGGTAAATAATTTAAAAATAGATTTTTAAACATTGCCATTCTTAAAGGTCCTTTATATTATCCCCTGGAGATTTCTTTCTGCCAATTCTTGTCCTAACTTCTTTTAAGTTCTCTCCTCTTCTAACTATACCTCTTCATTTCTTTCCATCCTTCTGGAATGTGGGACCCACCTTTTTACACTCAGATAGTTTTATAAAGTTGTTTCATCCTCCAGGACATGGTTTTTTTTTTCCCTATAAGGAAAAACAATAGCTTTTAAAGTAACATCTCTCTGTCCTTACAACTTGTTATCAGAATTAATAACGTTTTAAAAACTGTCATGTCTGTTTTCTCTCCCTCTTGCTGTGAAATGCTATGATATGATAGGCTATCTGATTTGAAGTGTTTTCTTGATTGCAGGCTACATTTTTGATAATACATGTATATTTACCTTTAAAAAAAAAGAAGCCTATAGGCTTTAATAAAGATAGTATTGTTGGCCCAGCAATGGCATGGTGGTTAAGGCAGCTAGATCTTGAATGACCAACTGCATAGTTCGAGTCTTATCCCAGCAGCTTGAAAAACTTGCCAGGCACATGTGTATGCATGCTTAAAATCCCCAAAGAAGAAATGGAGAAGGGATGGTGGCATGACCTTGCCCCGTGAAGGGGTGCTTTCTCACTTTTTCCTTTCTCTCTCTCTTTCTCTCTCTCTCTCTCTCTCCCCCTTTCTCTCTCCAGTGAGCATACATCATGCACTCTGACAATTTTTTTTTTAAAGATGGTATTGCTTACCAAAGAATTAGTATAGCAGGGAAAAAAAAATTCTTCCCATATTAGAATAATATATGTATATAATATAGATGAGAATTGAAACTTATAAATGTAATTCTGTGCAACAAGAGTTATATTTGCATAGACGTACTTGATTCCAGATTATTTTCATTTATAATTTTACTTACCGATTGTATCTGTAGGCTATTGTTACAGTCATGCCTCTTGACAAATCATCCCAGAAGTCAACAGCTTTTATTGCCATGTGTGTGTGCTATTAGGCTAGGAGGTGTTTGATCTCTTGGTGGGCTCCAAATCCGTTCCCAAAACTCTCATTCCCTTGCAGGCTAACTGGGTCATGTCCTTCTCAGACTATGGCAGAAGTGCAAGAGGGCATGTGTCACCCCACAGGGTCTTGTCTTTTCTTTTTTCTTTTCTCCTCTCCCCTCCCCTCCCTTTCCCTTCTTTTTCTTTCCTCTTCTTTCCTTTCATTTTCTTTCTCTCTTTCTTCCTCTCTCTCTTTCTTTCATTTGCCATAGGGTGCCTGGACTCGCTGGAGAGAGACAGAGAGAGAGGGAGAAATGTAAAGTGAGAAAGCCCCCCCCCCAACTCCCCTGGGGCAGAAAATGGCCACACAAAATCCCATCTTCTCCATTCTATTCTTAGGATTTTGGGCAGGCAAACACATACATTTGGCATGTTTTCAAGCTACTGGGTCTGGGACTCAAAGCACGCAGTTGGACATGTGGGACCAGTTGCTAAGCCACCTTAGCAACCACATCACCAGCTGGGCCCACAAGCCCATGTCTAACCTTTGCTTGCATTATGCCCACTCACATGCCATTGGCCAAAGCAGATATCCATGGGACAAGGAAGAAAATTTCTCCCACAGTGGGAGAGGAAGGGACTAATATTTGTTGATCAGTAATTTAGACTCTTACATGAACTAATTATATTAATTATCCATCATGCCCAACATCTGTGTCTGTCAGCCAGACCCACCCGGCACCAACAGTGGCTCCTACCAGGAGAGGTTATTAGACTGTTAAATGCAGGTCATGTCAAAGAAGTAATCTCATGTGAGGGCAAAGATTTTTTCTCCCAGAAACATGTATTTAAGGTAAAGCTGACAAACTCCAGCAGCAGTTTTTAAAGAAGAAATTACAGGGCAAGTTACCAGACGTCTCTGACCCAATTTCTGCAGCTGTTTGTACCTTGCTATGAAGTATAGCCCACGGGTCTTGAGCAATCATTATTGTGCATATATTCTGTAAAATAAGGCTATCAAGGATCCAGAATATGGAATAAGGAAATACAATGGGTTTAGAGCATGGCTTCCCTGAACGTACCAGGACACACCTCAGCTTTAAAACGGCTTCTTGTCTGAATATTTTGGGAGTCTCTCATGAAGGAAATAAACTTAAAACCAAACCAAACCAAACCAAACCAAAACAAAACAAAACAGAACTAGAGGCCAACAGGTGCCATAGTGATTGTGGTGCTGGACTCCCACATGGCTGACTGTGGTTCGAGGCCTGGACCTGGTGGCTTAAAACTCATGCCAGGTGGGTGTGCATGCTTGCCTGAGATCCTGAGAGGAGAATGGAGGAGAAAGAATAGCGGCATGGCCATTTCCCTGGGGAGTGATTTCTCACTTTGTGTCTCTCTAGTGAGCAAATGTGCCTTATAGCAAAAATCTCTCAAAAATCAATCAACAGGACAATGGACTCCAAAATTAGAGATCAGGTAAAAACAAAAGAGGTGTCATTGACCATATTTCTAAAAGGAAGTCTTCCCTATAACTACCAGATAGATAAGGAGCTATACATAGGTCATCATTGATTTCCTTTATAAGTTACACAGAATTGGAATCTACAGAATGACAGCTGTATGTCTGTCCACGTTAACTAAATCTGTTCAAATGTTATTCTTTTCTGTTTTAGGAGTCGGGTGGGAGAATGAGCTGTTAAAGGGAGATGAGGTGACCTCAGATACCACAGAAACAACCAGCCCAGACATGACCATCAAGGTAAGGACCCTTTCCACATTGTTTCCCAGAGTGCATTTCTAGAGGAAAGAGAGCTTGTGGCAGGTATTTGTGGAGGCAGAATGAACACCACCCTCTTGCCCTCTCTCTTCATCAAAATCTCAGTGAGGCAGACATTTGAGTTCCTGAAATTCGAGATCTGGATTGGGACATCACTTGAAAGCCAGACTGTAAAATGTGACTTCCAATGGGCCTGCTGAAGGATCTTCAGTCATCTTTGCAAGTGGTAACCCCAGGGGGCAGTGAAGCAAATCTGAAGATTCTGAGCTGAGAAACCCGGGCCTCACTGGCCATTGTGCAGAAGGGTCAGAGAGGCATAAAGTCACTTTGATCTGGACTCCAGATTTCCGCTGATGTCAGCGGAGAGGCAGCACACGGCCCACTCCAGCTGGAGAACTAATGGCCACGGGCTTACAAAATGAGTCATCTGGAAATCAGCTTAATTAGCACCGTCCAAATTAAATGCATAGATTTGTAATCATTGCCCAGATTAAGGAATCTGTAACAAGAGTTATCAGTGAGCCAACCCTTTCCCTTTCATTATTGGATTGGACACAAGGGGCTGGTCCTTCTCTCTGGGAATTCTGCTTTTGTCTTAGTTCACAAAGGCTTAGGGTGGGAAGGATTGCTAGCATTTTTGCTTGAATTCGTAGATTTAAATATAAGCCCCATCTGAATTTAAAACAAACAAAAATGTACTATCACTTTTTTTATATTGAGATAGAACTGGAGATATTTCACTCCTGCATTTATTAGTTAGAGAGGTTGTACCAAATATACAGGATGAGTTTAATCAGGCTGGCTTTTGTAATGTGGGAGCTTAATTAATATTAAATGTTTCAAA